CTTAGCATTTAGCTAATATAGAATTTTGCAGCTGTTTTGCTGGGCTTAGCATTTAGCTATTGTTCTGCTGAATTAAACTTTTTTGTCCTGTTTTTCTCATTTGTTTTTAACCTTTGCTTATTTTAGCACTTAGCGTTTGTTTTTCTGATTTTAGCTTTTGTTATTATCTTTTTAACAACTCATTTTCAAYCTCTACAACAGATTTAAGGTACATCATTTAGCATAAAGTGTATTTTTTCTATTTTTTTCTTGATTATTTCTAACAGTTTTGTAGAAATTTGCCATTAATTTGCCATTTTTTACATTTAATTTTCATTCTGGGGAACTCTTTGGGACCCTTATTTGAAGTTTCATGACCCACAATGAGGTCCTGCCCCTCATTTTGGGAAGCACTGAGTTAAGTCACCTGTGGTGGAGGCAGGCCTCCGGCTCCCTCTGCACACTCGGGGAGCATGGTGAGTTTTTTAGGAGTGCTGCATTGACATTTTGGAGACGGTCTGAGGTCGGACCACTCTGGGCCTTCCAGTCTTTCTATGAGGGCGGGGTCCACCAGGGGCATCTCCCACTCTGTGGTGATGTTATTACACGGGAAATCCCTGCGGAGGGAAGAAACGAATCAAAGCTGACAAACAAAACTAAGTCTGGGGAAATATTAYGTGATAAAGTGTGAGAGTCACTCACTCCAGAGGTTCATCAGCCATGCAGCGAGTCCCAAAACCAGGCTTGTCCAGCAGAACTTCACCAAAATATCTCATGTCAGGATCAACYGGTCGCTCATTGCTGCAGTAGACAAAATAAATTAATTTCATACATTTTTGCATTGTAATCAATTCMTTTTATAAAGTGCACAACCTGAAGAAGGTGTACTGTCGCCCGTACATCCAGGGGCTGAGGGTCAGACTGGGATACTCTCCAAACGGTGGAACTATCAGCGTAAACGTCAGAGCCAGGAAGACGAAGCTGGCTGGGAGAACGATCTGTCYTAAAGAAATTATTACAACTCTTGAAGAGATTGTCTGTGATTAAAACTAATGTGTTTTTTTTAATAAAGATGGTAAGTTAGAGAAACAAACCTGAGCAATGAAGTCTTTCCAGGAGCGTGTGGCGTGGTGCCACCTCTTTATCAGCAGAGCAAAGAACTGTTTGATGATCAGAAACGGGCCTCGGACCTGGTAGGTTCCTCGTCCCGCACTGCCRTCTGGGGTCTCACTCGGACCCTGACCGTTGGATTCTGGAAGAAGAACTGAGGTCTGGTTAGCATCGAGCGGCTTGCAGTGGAGTTTAATGAAATAAAGAAACCAGCCAGATGTTTGAGAAACATAAAGCTCTATTATCAGCAGGTCTAATAAACAACAACAATAAATAAAATAAACAGCAAGGCTCAGTTTAAAGAGAGTTTAAATGACTAATGAATGTAAAAAAAAGTTGTCTGTATTGATGTGTCGAAAGACAAGGAATCATATAACTGCACCTCTTTGTTTGTTTGTTTAAAGTAAAATATCTCATGAAGCACTGAATAGATTTTATTCAAACTCTCAGAAATTATTCATTTACAACTAATTCAAAATGGCCGCCACAGCTACAGCAATGTTTGACTTCAATATGGAGCTAAACTAGGGCCATAAGGTTTTAAAAATATATATATAATATATCTGTTTGAAAAACTTTTTTTTTTCAAATTCAAACTTATTTTTTAGTTTCAAATCTTTGTTTTGTTTCAAAATTATTTTCAAGATAAAAAATATTTTTAACAAACTTTATGGCCCCAATTTAGCTCCACAGTTCAATATCTATAAAACAAAAATAAAAATTTATAGACATTCTGTGGAAGGTCAACTAGCTGTAACTGACTTCTTGACCTTTGTCTCATGAGATATTTTGCTAACAGAAATACAAACACACAGGTGTGATTGCCTGCCTTCAATGGCAGCAGGAATAAAAACTGCCTCATCAGCAGCAGCAGCTCTGCAGAGCTATAAGCTGAAAGCCTCCATCACCTTTCTGTGCTTCCACATCAGCAGCCACTCTGTTGACTCCACAGAGACTCGCTGCAGAGCTCTGCTGCYGCCGTTGCTTTTCTGAGAGTTTCAAACATGGATGCAAAGAAATGTAACACCCGACAACACACGGGAAGTAACAAAAGAGCTACAACACATTTAAACACAACATAAACCTTCAAATCCATTATACCTTGATTCCACTTCCTGTTGGTTGCATTCCCGTCTGCAGTCACCTTCAGAAAAATCTACAAGAAAAGTTACAACTTTAAACTATATAAATAGTAAATGTCTACAAGCATATGAAGCATTTTAACCTTCATAAATGGGTGTATTWATGTATATATTTCATTTTCACTGCAGTCTAGGAGTCTTAAATCTAATTACTGTTAATTATCCTCATCTATGRATTGAATTAGTTGTTTCCACACCTCCTCCAGTGACGTGTCTGACACACCAAAGCTGCTGAGGCCGATGTCTGCCAGCGTTTCCTCCAGCTCCCTGAAGAGGCTGGCGTAGGCTCTGGGCTGGAAGTTCTGATTGGGCAGCAGGAAGGTCAGRTCCTGACCCACGGCCTGGATGAGACGGGCCTGAGGCACGTGATGATGAACCAGGGCTGTYATGCTTTCCACGTTACCTGAAAACCATGGATCCAATCAAGAGAGGAACTTTACAGCTGTGTCAGTAGAAACTACAACGATGAGCCAGGAGCTCACCATCCAGCTGTCTGTCTGAGGCCTGGCTTTCTTTCTGCTCTGCTTTAATTCTTGAACACTTTGAGCAATTACAGGAGCAGTTCTGTGTGCAGTCACAGCTGGCCTGCAGGATGAAATAGATTATTTATATTACTCTTAAAGTACAACTCCCTCAACTTCAACATTAACACAAAACAGAGAAAAGTGGGAAAATGTTCATGTTAAAGTCTTTTTAAAAAGTTTACTCAAAATAAATTGTAGCAAGAGTTTTTGTTTGTTAACTTGGCTTAAAATCAACCAATTGCAATAAACTCTACAGAACAAGAGTGGTCAAATATCAGCCAGAAGCAAAAACTTCCWGACTGATGTTTGACTAAATATCAGTGGGAGTGTATGGATGCATGTGTGCCTGTTTGGATCAGAGAAAATCTACAYTAAATTCAAATTTGTGCACCCAATTATTGTTTTTAAAACTCACTGAAGCTGTTTGTGAAATTACTCCATGCTGGAAAAAGAATAGCATAAATAAATCACTAAAAGGCCAAAATAATGTGTCCATGATATCTCCATCTTCATCTCCAWCTTATTCCATTTATCCGTAGTRGGGTCGCAGAGGCARCAGGTCCAGGAGAGGAACCCAGACCTCCCTCTCTTCCCAGCGACACTTTTTAGCTCATCCTGGGGGACCTCAAGGCATTCCCAGGCCAGAGAGGATACATAATCCCTCCAGTGAGTCCTGGGTCTTCCCCGGGGCCTCCTACCAGTGGGACGTGTGGAACACCTCTAAAGGGAGGCGTCCAGGAGGCATCCTGATCAGATGAACCACCTCAACTGACTGCTTTTGATGTGGAGGAGCAGCGGCTCTACTCCGAGCTCCCTCTGGATGATGGAGCTCCTCGRRCTATCTCTAAGGCTGAGCCTGGCCACCCTACGAAGGAGGCTCATTTCGYCTGCTTGTATCCAGGATCCCATTCTTTCGGTCATTATCCATGCCTCATGACCACAGGTGAGGGTTGGAACAAAGACAGACCAGTAAATCGAGAGCTTTGCCTTTTGACTCAGCTCTTTCTTCACCACGACTGACCGAAGCAATGCCCTCATTACTGAGGACGAGGCCTCAATCCGTCGATCCATCTCCCGCTCCATCCTACCATCAATCGTGAACAAGACGCCCAGATACTTAAATACTATCCAGTATCTGGGTGTGTCCATGATAGATGAATGAAAACTGCAGTTCCGCTTGTTTCCACAGAAAGAAACTTCCTCTCGATTTTCTAATTGTTGATTTTTTCCCCAAACTTTAGCTGCCTGTTAAATAAGTTGTATTTGTTTACTCCAGGAAAATAATTCACAAAGTTTCACCTTCAGAGTCTCACGATTCATTCGGCGCACAAGAGTGAGGTAGAAGCCAGCACCGAAGCAGTTCTTGAGGAAGATGGGTGAACCGCAGCACTGAAGGCGACCCCGGGAGATGATGGCCACCCGGTCACTCAGCAGGTCTGCCTCGTCCATGTGGTGAGTGGACATGATCACTGTGTGTCCTGTAACACCAGYCACCATGAGGGGTAACAAGAGAACATGTAGAGGGGGGCTTGTTTCCTTCTGCAGGGACTGAAGCAGTACCTGCACGGTACTTGAGCAGTAGGTCCCAAATTGATCGTCTGGAGTAAGGGTCCACTCCYGAGGTGGGCTCATCCAGGATCACCACCTTGGCTCCACCAACAAAAGCCAGAGCGACAGACAYCTTTCTCTGCATGCCCCCTGGAACAGAGCACCAAAAAACATCAACAATGCTCAGTTTAGTTGGTATTAGAGTGTGCAAGGGTTTGATTTAATATTTAAACCTATTTCCAAARAGACCTGAGAGATTCTGGATCAGRTCAGCCCTTTTGTGGGGAAGGCCCAGATCCTGCACCATGTTCTCAACCTCTTCCTCGGCTTCGGCCATTGGACGGCCTTTCAGTAGCGAGTAGAAGAGAATGTGTTCTTCCACAGTCAAACTGAGAACGATAAAGAATACTGTGATGGTCCTATGTCACTAGGGTGGGTTCTACAGGGATTGCATCCTCTCCTGCAGACAGTTGACCTACAGCAGGTWTGACTGGACATCAAGACCCAACAGATCAACACTAGATCAGAGTTAATGTCRGAACTGATCCTGCAAGTTTGACCGGACAAAGATAAGGTCCTGGATGGTGACAGGAGGGTCTGTACCTGAATGTAGGATGTTAGAGGTGAAGCACTGAGCCGTTAGTTCCCTGAACTACTAGTTCCCCACACCATGAAGCCAAGAGTAACACCAGTGTGTCTCCTAGACCCTTGGTGCGTCCGTGGTCTTTCATGGTGATGCAGAACAAAGACTTGTTGCTWTCTGACATCAATCTGTGTCTTTTAATCAGGGCACCACTCCAATAACTCCATCTTCTCTGCTCTGTTGTGGGAGTCTATATGAGTGATTAAACCAATGGTCCATTAGGTACCAGTCGATACGACATGATGTGAAATGACACTAGGTGTTGTAAAGAGTCCAGTGATTGGGTCTGGATAGAAGGCACAGAAACCATGGGGTTCAGGTTTTGCCTGATGCACAATACAATGATCCTCCATTGGTGTGGTCTGTCTTGGATGACCAGAACCATAACAACATGTGTGGATGCCCTTGTGGTTCCAACATTGGGTCACTGTAACATCTATACACCATACAAGTCTGAACATTTTACAATACAACCAACTGGCTTCAGTAAACCCCCAGTGATTCCTCTGGATGCTGAGTAATGGGTCTATGAGACATCCTTTGGTTTGGTTACCTCCTTTCATTGTTTTGACTCTGTTTTGTGGCAATGTTACATTTCTGTCCTTTGTTYTTGGTTCACGTAAGGTCCATCTTCGTGCAAATGAAATATTTAACATATCTATCGTTGGTCTGCATGGAGACWAAATTACATCCAAATATTTTTGTTTGTCAAAGAATGTATTTAGATTAAACAGGAACAAAAATACTTACTGCTGGAAAAGTATGTTATGTTGAGGACACATTCCTAGAGACATACGAATACTGTCCATGTCTGTGTGGATGTCCTTGCCGTAAATGGTGGCTGTCCCAGAGGTGGGTGGGAAAATTCCTGTCAAGATGGACCTAGGTGAAAGAGAAYACATACATTTATATCCACTGTAAGTACACTTGTGAACACGGCATCCCTTAGAAACATGTACATGGTGGTGGTTTTTCCAGCTCCATTGTGTCCCAGAAAGGCAGTAATCTGGCTCTCGTAGAAGTTGATGCTGAGGCCATCCACAGCTGGTGTGGAGGAACCGCAAAACACTTTGACCAGGTTTTGGATGCAAACTCCCTTCATCAGATCTGCTGGCTCTGCCTCAAAGAAAGACTGTTCTGTAGATCACAGCAAATCAGAGATAATGGTGAATCTARAACATTTTGAACATATTTATGCTTCTATGAGGAAGTAGCAAAAACATTTTGTTTCTCAAAGTGATAATAAAAGAACAATATGTGTGAAATAGAGCAACTAGAATGTCYTTTAGAGTACAGAAAAAGGTTCAATTATTAACTAGACCTGAAACTGAGAGGGAAGTGGTTCCAACAAGTGCAAACACACACAAGGACGTTTAGTTTCCACAGAGCTGAGTCTCATCCTGGGATCAGCTGTTTGCTTGTGCTAATACTCTTTTTATGGGAAATGTGTTGTTTGTTCATCTAATGAAAGTGTCGTGGGGAAATTACAAAGAGAATAAAATAATTGTACCATGGTTCTCCTGGTTCTCCTTCCCCAGCGTCTCGTCATGGTGCTCACATGAGGGGGTCTCCTCCTTGGATTTGGGTTGGACCTGATRTTTCTCCTCTGGTTTTTTCTGCAGCTCTCCTTGTTCCTTATTTACCAGGTTATCAAAGCCTTTTTTCTCCAGCTCCATCTTGTCYTTACCTTTCAGAAATGGGACAAAACGTTAAATGTTAAATAACCAAGTTTAGGATTTTTTTCAACATATTTTTTATCAAAGCAGTGGTGTGTTTTCTTTTACCTGCAGCTGGAGCGACACTATTCAGCCAATAACAAGGCAAGAAGGGAAAATAAAATGGGCGACCAATGCCATACTGTCCTGGGATAACAAAAGTTAAAATAAAACTTTTTAAAKTGTTTTGTTTTCATGATGGAACAACCTCATTTCTGTTCAGTTCACTGACCAGGGAAGACGTTGTCCAGGTACCAGGCTAGAACAGCGTACAGCGCCGAGTCCAGACCCATCATGCAGATGGAGGTGAGGAAGGAGAACTCGTCTCCCTCCAGGGGGCTGGTCTGGATGTTGTCCCACTGCAGACCCATGCCCTGTTCCTCGTACCGGGACAGATACTCTGTACCGAAACCGAATGCCACTTGGGACAGCAGACTCTGAGAAAACAAAAACAAGCCAAGATATAAGCATCTCAGAGTACACTGMGGGGGATGACTCTCAGCTACTACCACKCACTAAATTTGAGCTCAATTTTTATAAAATGACTGAATTACAGTCATATTTGTCTTTGACATTTTACAGCCCACTCAGGGAATGGATACTGATTTTAMAATACTCTCATCCTAACTGAGAAAAATTACAAACATAAACAATATTATACGATTTTTCAGTCTTTTATCTCTTAAATAATGGATAAATTAATGTTTTTTTTTCTCATAAAGCGAAGCAGATTTGTCATAAATTGTAAACAATCGAGCCACCCACCACCAGGATCTTGGTATCTTTGGTGATGCGGTCCTGCCAGGCAAAGCAGAAGATGTGGGGCAGGTAGAGGCTGAAGTAGATGATGCCGCTGCAGGCTGCCGCTAGGTTAGCCTGGTTGAAGAAGACGCTCAGGAGGAAGCATTGCATGATGGTAGCTGTAGTGAAGGTGAGCAGAAACAGGAAGAGGATGACTGGGTTGCTGTAGTTCAGAACCCTTCCTCCCTGAAGCCAAGAAGAAGAAAAAGACAAAACTTTTTATATTAGTGTTTGTTTAGCAATTTGTTTTTTACCCACATGCAAAAGTTTTGAACCATCACCAAAGAAGGTGTTTGTTGTTGTTTCTCTGCACCATTCGCAAAAAGCATTCAGTGTTATTCTCACTAACAGGCCCAGCTTTCTGACCCGTGTGCCCAAAATGATCATGAAAAATTGTGCTTTTTTACACAAAACGTCCACAAGAGGCTGCTTCAGCCCATTGTGCTACCAGGCCTGATGCCTCCAAGGTTTTGTTACTGATTCCTGTTAATCARTGACAAGCCCGCTCCTTCAAACCCTGCAGAACCCTGACATAGTTCTCATGATGTCACAGTATCCACAGTTCTTTCCTTAATCATTTACCTGGAAACATTTTCACTGAGTTAGKCATTAATATCAGCTCAGTTTCAATGAAAAAGTCTATTGATTGACAGCAGCACAGGCTACTTCTTGATAATTACAGTTATTTAGTTTGAACAGCGATGGACCGAAGCAAACATTAGGTGTTCCTGATCAAATAATGGATGACTTACCAGTTGTTATACGCGCCTAAAAAAGAGAAGACAATATTTTCTCACCATGATGATGGCGGTTAGGAGGGCTGTGCTGGTGCCCATCATGAAGAAGCTGTCAGTGAACCATGTGGACCAAATGACACCGTTGGTGACCCCCATGGTCTTCAGGGTCTCCTTCAAGCGCAGCTCCTTCTCCAGAACGATGCTCTTCACCATCATGGACACGGAGTAGACCCAGGCCAGCACCATGAAGACGGGGAAGCAGCGGCTCAGAGTGAGCATAAAGCTGGAGGAAAAACAGAAGAGATAAGAAACAGYAGCCATTTACTGACCCATTGTACTGTTTGATTCCCACTCCTTCAATATGAAATACTGTGCCGTATACTTTGATGATTTTGTCCTGGTTAGAACYTTTCCACTCACAGATCATCCACATAACAAGGGTAGGGCATCTGCTGCAGGTAAACACCCAAAGGCCACTCCTTCCCTGTCTGTGTCCTGATGATTCCATGCTCTATGATGTCCTGAAGGTAAGCAAAGCCTCCCCAAACGTAACGGAGGTCATCCAAAGGGTCKGCTCTGGGGCCCGGGTCCCAGTACCTAAAACCCAACACATGTTCTGTAAAAAACATGGTTCATCTTTTATTTAAACACCGGTTTCTCTGGAGGTTGTATCAAACCTGTCTTTGACTTTGTTGGTGCGTTCTACAGTGTCGATATCCATACGGATCTTGAACTTAACGTGAGGGGGAACGCTGGTGCTCCAGGGGTACATGTTGACGAAGACCAGACCCGCCCAGAACTTGCCGTCCTCCAACAAGTCCAAGGCTCGATGGGTGACGGCGTCTTCGTCAGGCAGAGGCATGAATTTATCAAGAGTCAAACACTGGAAAAAGATGGCAAAAGAATAACTTTTATACACAAGTAGGATGGTAACATTTCATGGCAAAGACAAAACACATTTAGAGGACACATTGGATTTACTGTAAAGACTGTCAGAATTTCCTTTAAATTAAGGTTATTTAAAAAGCTTTTATTGTTCATGACCTTTCCATAGAGCCCAACTTTACCAGGTCKCAGACAGAAAAAAACAGGCAAATCGTTAATAAAACTATCTTGAGTTTCAGGAGAGACACGAACATAATGAATAATTCATGACAAACCATGGTTCTTTGTGTATCTTAGTTTGGGTAGAAGCAGTGGACTGACTGACAACCTGTGAAAAGCCCAGAAACACCAGCGTTTGCCCAAAACCCAAAGAACCTCACACTATGGCAGCGGTGTTTGTCTCGTCTCTGAAAAGCGTATCTGATAAAGCCATTCACTGTGATCCAAAAGAAATCTGTCCAAAACAGCTATTTACCACCCGCTCAAACACAAAACACACAKAAACACAATCTGCTGTACAAACACAGCCCTGCATTGAAAGTAATGATATATTTTCACAATTTCATATTTAACATGTGGAATAAATAATTCACATCTAATGGACCATCCTTTTGTTGACCTGAGTGAACGTCGACACCCCTTTTGGATGGTGTCATCTGCATACAGCCCCCCCGYCCATTCGCTTAGGGCCATAGTTTTCTCTTTATAAAGAACAGCCAACGGAGTGGCAGCTGTATCTAATCGGCCTCTGTCGTTCCCTCTCTCCCGTCAAACTCAAGTGCTGTAAGCTTCAACTTGGTCAAAAACAACCCGCGCCAACCATTTATCCAGCCGAGTGCCCAGGTACGCCCATGTCAGCCCACCACTCCTTCAGCACTACAAGCCTCTCATTCTGATTAGCCTCTTTYGTGAGAAGGGGCAGTTTTAGCTTTTGTTTTAAACGTTTTCAATGCTCTGGCTATTACAAATGCCCTCACAAGAAACGGCACTCTTTGTTTTGGTTTTAATCTCCGATCAATCACCGGTCAACAACTCTTTTGTAATGCTGACTTAAGCCCACCTGAGGGGATTTCCACATATCTGGAATGGGGGGTACACGACGCAGAGCCAGAACCAGAGATTAGGTCCTCYAGTACCCTGGTACCAGGAAACCAAACTAAACAAATGCTGATTWTTTATACCACCAGAGTTTTAAAAGAGAAAAGGTAAAAACCTGAGATCAGGGACTGAGCCAGAGAGGTGGACTAGGGTGGCAAGTCCCACCTATGGCACATGATTGGCCACCCCAAGAAAAGATCTTTGATTTTATTTGCATTTAGATTTTATTAAAGATTGTTCACTGACACTACTGTACTCTTTAAATCTTTAGCTGTGTATGTTTAAAAATAGCTGAAATATAACCCTTTGTAAAAGCAGCATTAGGMGTTAACTTAATTTGGGATTAGCATTGGTAATCGGCATGTAATCATCCTTAGCTACTCCACAATTTCATCTCATTAATGCTTAAAATAACTGTATTAGCTTTATAAATGAGCTGTGGTGGCTGTCTTYAATTTTTAACATTTAGCATTTGGTAAATTCTTTTTTTAAGCTATTTCTACACTTCAACACTTATCTTCAGCTTTGTATGTCTAAAAATGGCTGAATAATAAGTTGTGACTCATTCAATATTTTTGGGTCATTCTTTTCTATCATCACTCGAAACTTCAGCTCAATATTTCTTAAAACAGCAGAATTAAAGCCATTTGGAATTAGCTTTGGCGACCATCTTGATTTTTGAAATCCATGATGTTTTTRTTTATTTCTATGTGCCCTATATAAAACACCTTAGCCACACCTTGCCTAAAAATCTAGCTCCACCCATTCTTAAAATGAAACCAGCCTTTTTTGAAGGAATGTATATTGCTTACACCTTGTATGCAAACATTTTAAACAAATTTTCTAGATTTTACCTTCATATCTGTAAATCTGTCTGAGTTATTACTATTTTTGTTTGATAAAGTTGATTAGTGAAGGTTACTTAGAGGACCAAGTTCAAGATTTTTTTTGACCTCTGGTCTAAAAGGTAATGCAATATAAATAAAGACATTTAAAACATTTAAGAGCTAAGTACCTTGGAGTCTCTTGACATTTACCTCAGCTGAACCTACAATCAGGCAGTGCTGCAGAAACTTGGTTCATRTAATGGTCTTAGTTTAAAACTATAKAACTCTCCTTCRAGGATTTTCCTTTAAACTCTCATCATTGTATCATCGTCATAGAAATATATGACTCCAAACCTCGAAACACATTTGAGATGTAGATAATATTGCTTTCTACGAGTGAAAACTTTTAAAAAACATCTTGTGATTGAGTTCAACACCACTCACCTCACCATACTGGTTGAGCATCCGGATGACCCGGTCAGTGAGGTTGAAGATGTCTCGCCAGTCGAAATCGGGCACGCCGTCTTCACGGTCCTCTGGTGGTCCATTGTGCAGGAAGTTGAGAATGTGTTTGGAGGAAAATGGCACCTCTTCCAGACTCCGGTCAATAAAATCCATCACAGARGGATTGCAGATAGTGTCCTGAAGGAAAAGAATAAAGACTAATTACAACCAATTGTTTACAGTAGTAAAACAATWAGATGTCATCATCTCCATTGGTATTTTTTGTTGCCTTTGATTTTGCTTCACCCATCTTTTTCCCCACTGCAAATGATGAAGTCCCCCACACCATGATGCTGCCACCACCATGCTTCACTGTGGTGTTCTCAGCATGATGAGAGGTATTAGGTGTTGTTTTTGTGGGCCAAAARGTTGAGTTTTAGTCTCATGTGATCACAGCATTCATCCGGTCGTTTTGGTCAAACGRTGAATWTAACACGATGACTCTCAYCTACTACACGACAAATTCMAGCTCAATATCTGTCACATTGCTATATCCATTTTTGAGTTGGCTAAAGCTGACAAGTTGTGGTGGCCATTTGAATTGGGTTGACTCAAATGGTCAGTCATTTATAGATTCAATTGTTACCAGCTTTGGATCATGAAATATTTTGCTAACAGACAAACAGACTCACTGTAAACAACCACAGTTTGAAACAAGATGAAGAACAAACAATGTAGAGAACAAACAACACAGAAATATGAGCAGTGATGTAAAAAACATACGTTAAATTAAGGATAACTTCTACATTCCATGAAAAAATGATGAGAAGTTTCAAAAAGCTTTAATAAAACAATCTAATTTATCACCAGTTTATGGTATTAAATGTCATCTGGGTAGCAACAAGAAGACCGATCATCAAAAACCTCTCAAATATTACAAAATAATTGTACAGATGAGGTCAAAATGACCAAACKACTGTTTCCATTTAACCAAACTGCAGCTGTTGTCTCACCCGGATCATCTTGACTTGGATTCCGTCTTGAAAAAAGGCCCAGATCTGTGGAGCCACTTCCTCCCAGGCCTTTCCCATCGTCCTCAGCCTCTCCAGCTCCTCAAATGTGGTGTTGGCCTGAAAGCAGCGACAAAGACGTGGAATCAAAAATATGGAACGCCGCAAAGTCKYTCCACCAGTTAGTTTTACAGATYATGAAGTAAAATTTGGTGTCACTTAAAGGTTCTGTGAAATGTTTGTTTAAAATTTTAACTTGAAAGGCAGACAGCGYTATGACTTTTTCAAAAGGATGTTTTATTGATGAGCGAGGACGAGCTTCAACAAGTCAGGTAGTAACAAAGTAACGTCATCTGCAAAACAAGTAACTGAAGAAGGGGCACCACAAAGGAGAGGCCAAGGGGGGCAATAGTTACCCCTAAAAAAATGGTGGCCCCTAACTGCCCTGCTTCTTGAGTCCCCAGGTGTTGGTTTTGGTGCCACCCCTGAATTTTCATTGACTCCACRCTATTAAAAAAGTTCTGGAGAAGCTACTGAGGCCTGAATCAAAAGGTGGTTCACTGACTCTCAAACTGCGGTATTTTTCATTATAACCAACTAATGACAACAGAATAAAACTCCTGAAATTCTGGTATTGCTTTTGGTTTTCGTGGGCCACCCCAACACAATAAGCAGCCCCTTAGAAAAGTTTCTCGAAGCGCCCCTGTTTCCAAACGTCAAATAGACAGAGTCGGCCACACATCTCCTAATCTCCTGCTTACATACCATTCCCACATTAAACTCTGTGAAAACAGGCTTTGCAAAAACAACACACACATTCTCACAAAGAATTCCCACCAGCCTCTACAGATAACCTGAAACAAACGCGTTCAGTGCCAAATCGTCAAATATTTACTGCACGCTTATCGCTCAAACCCGGCGCTGTGTACWGTGCTTTTTGTGTGGAGTGGGCCCGAGGTCGGCTCCCTCAGCATTCAGCCGTGTGCAGTCGGGGATGAAAGCACTTCAAGAGTACACCCAATTAAACACCTTCCTCTTGTGTGTGTCTGATTGGGGGTGACAATGGGGACAATGGAGCCGGGGCAACAATGGAGGCTGTTGGTGACAAGCGGCTGAATGCGCTCGGTGAATCCCAGTCAGGTTCCCACAAATGAGAGCTTCCTCATTCCACGAGGAGGCGAGGGCTCCTTAAAGTSTTTTCATCACGGGGAGCTGGACCCGAGGTGGTGGGTGTTTGTTGTGGGTGGAACTTACTCCATTTAAAGATTAGAGATTATTTCTACTACAGTTTATACATGAAGAAAAAGTTATCTTTGTTATAGGCTGACAGGGGTAGAGTACCCAAAAGTTGTACTCAAGTAAGAGCAAATCTACATCAACATACTTTTACTTAAGTAAAAGTAAAAAGTAGCCATCCAAGAAGTAAGAGTAAAAAAGTATTTGGTAAAAAGACAACTCAAGTACTGAGTTACTGATGAAGACATCAATCATTTAATATTTAAAAATTACATCAGACACCAAAATATAAAGCTATGTGGAAATGTTGGTATTTTAAAGATCAAAATGAAAATAATTCATATAAATAACAAAATAACAAARTCAGGCAAAAGAAACATTTTGAAAAACTAAAAGTGTGTGTCTGGTGAATTTTGGTGAAAACAAGTTTGTTCTTCATTCAGTAAAGTTACTCACAGCGGTAGAGTCTCCAGATATTTTACTCACGTAAGAGTGAAGATACTTCACTTTAAATTTACTCAAGTAAACGTAAAAAGTACAGCGTAGTAAAAATACTCCTAAAAGTACATTTTTTTCCAGAATGTTACTCTAGTAAATGTAACTGAGTAAATGTAACTAGTGACAACCCAACTCTGGTTTTAGGATTTATAATTTTCTCTCAAATCCCTCCAGAGTGAAGCTCCAAACTCCCATCACCTTCCACAGAATCTGGCAAAACCTGGTTTGAGTTTTTCTCCATCCACTGTCACTTTGAGGCTTACTTTTTACTCTGCYTTTCTGTTTGCCAWCAGGGAGTGACAAACATCGGCGTATTATTGTCATGGTGATCTTAAGCCGCCAGCAGCATCTTTCACATCTCTGCTGATCTCGGTTCTCTTTCCTCTACAGTTTCTGTCAGCTCAGATTACTACAAAATAAAAGCCCGAAAATTTAAAGTTTTATTTATGTTTTGCATCATTCTGTGCAAAAACATCACAGTAATGAACAAGTGGGTCCCAGTGTGGAAGTTTAATGTATTATTTTGTTAAACTGGGACTAAATAATTCATTTTTTTCTGATGAACAAAGTAAAAACCCGGTGATGACAGGATCCAGAAAAGACCCGGCGGCTCAGTTCATTATTCCAGCAGAGCGGTCACATAAGACCCGAACATACGTTTCAGTCCTGGACATACTCTGATGCATGACACGAGAACACAGRGACGCTCCTGTAGATGCTGTTTTTATTCTCTTAAAGTAATGGATTAACCTCACGGTCGTTCCTTTCTCAGCATAATTAAGATTCCTTCTGAGAAGAGGAGGACAAAGGGGTTATTAAAGGCCAGTCAGGAGGATGTCTCATAGGCGTGACTCATCTTTAAGGAGACACTTTGGTGGAAAAGCTGCGGCGCCAGCAGACTGTGCTGCAGCCGCCACGGCTGATCTGCTTGTGTTGTCCCATTGCGACCGACCCGTCCATGACTGCCCCCTCCCAGCTTTAACAAACACTTATCTGCATCTAGATACAAAAGTCTGGAAATGYCACYCAGAAAGCTGATCCCATGGATCACTCTGTCAGAGTTTAGAGCAGACATACGGGTGGTCGTCTGCATTATTCCTTCATCTATACCACCTTTTTCCTTTTAAAAGCCATTATTAGCTCATCAATACAGCTCGACTGGGGTCACTTCCTGCAGAAACATGAGAACATTCTCACTGGAATGAGAAACTGATGGGAAGTAAAGACTTATGAAGCAACGTTTGCATTAACGGCTATGAAATTTCAGAAATCCGAGTTGTTTTAAACCTTCCAGCTGCTCACGTTTCGTATGATCTGCCTGACAGCCGGCGAGTCCGGAGAGTAGAGGATCCGCCCCATCAGCATCGGCTTCACAGACTTCCAGATGATCCTGGTGGCTGGGTTGGACTCCAGTTCCTTCATCAAGTCATTGCAGAAAGGAGCTGGAAGGAAAACAATTTGATCAAGTTAATAAAAATCATTTATTTGCACTCATCATCTGCTCCATTTCAAGGTTGTATTTGACAAGCAAACTGTGCAAAATATATGTCGAGGTTAATACGAGCWMATTTCACTCCTGAGATTCTTGAAATAATGTATTTATTAGGTGTGCAACGATACAGAAAATTCACGATTCGGTTCGGTTCGATACTTTAGTCTCACGATTCGATATTTTTTCCGATACAAAAAAGAGAAATGTCCATGACCCTGTTAAATTGTAATTTATTGAAATTAATTATGAACATTTATTTAACCTCAAAAGTCCAGTTTTTAAATTAAATGTTGCGGAAACAGCAAGTTTCTCAGTGGATCTGTGCTAAAAATGCAGCCTAGGTGGAGTAGTCGAACACAGATCCACTGATCCTTCAACACACAGCATCTTCAGAAGACAAGTTGATAAAGTGAATTTTAAAAATCTGTATTGTTCCATACAAGTGTGTGTTGAACCTAAAGCATGGTTCAATACGGGTACATGTGTCGTCGCACTCCTAGTATTTATCTTCGCTGCAAAGTCTAAATATGGCCTTTGATTAAAAACAATTTAGGCACAAAAGTGAAAGAAAGAAAAAGAAAAATAATGTCTCACAGTTAGCTCCAGATTTGACTGGATTAAGGAACGAGGAGCTCCTAAAATATACTGTAGCATTGTTGCAAACTCACATAACCATAAAAACTCACAAATGTACTGTTAGCCCTGGCAGCTACGTATTTACCTACAGTAAATATTACATTGTTTTTTTTAATGTACATCTAAAACATGTACAATAGGTTGCCTCCAGACCTCCCTTGAAAAAGAGATCTGTGATCTCAATGGGATTTACCTGATTAAATAACGGTAAATAAATAAATAAATAAATAAATAAATAAATAAATAAATAAAACCTTAACAGTCCTTCTTCCACGGGTGGGCAAAAACGGTGCAGTTTCTACTTTTAAACATTTTATTTTTAAAAAGGGTGTTAGATGACTTCCTCCAGTTCTTACCATTAGCTTGACACCTTTACAAAAAATAAAGAAATGTCAAAATGCTTTTAGAGAATTTCAGGGGTGACTGTTGAGGGGTTAAAAAGTGACCAAACTGGAACAGAAACAGTTTGTTTTGCAGCACAGTTTGAGGCGCCTGTCTCCCTTCAGCAGTATTTTGTGAATCAGATGTTCACACTCATGATTAGAACTCTTCAAAACCAACTCAAATCTTTGATAATCCAGACTTCTTTACTGAGAAGTAAATARAGATTTTTATTTCAGAGTCCATGTTCTCCACAGGTTGAAACAGACCTGTTTGATMTGTCCAAAACAATTCTACAGAACACAGTCCTGATGAACTCACTGGTGCTGTTGTCGTARGTGTACTCGCTGTCGGCCCAGCCGCTGCTGATGCCCAGGAAGGCTTTGTAGTTATTGTCCTCGTACCAGTTGAAGGAGGTGACCCGGGAGAAAGCCCCCTCGGTGTAGCCACACACCAGGCTGGAGGCGGCAGCCATCACCTGCCTGAAGGACAGATTCTTCTGGAACAGAGGAGTCACCGCCTGGATCAGTTCCCTGGAGCTACTCCTGTGGAACAGCTGTGAGGAGAAAAGATTGTTCAAATAACAAACAACATCTTACCTGTTGCAGTTAATTATATATGTGTGAAACTAGTCATGTAATTATTTTAAAAATAACTTTTATGAATGGCAAAGAAAGTTTTAACATAAAGTCATTTAAAAACATTACATATCTGGCTAAAGACTAGCCTTTAGCTCGTCAGCTATGCTAAATTAAGTGGATCAATCACAGTTTAGTTAACTTGAAATATTCCAAATGTAAAATCCTAAAGAAGAATGTGATGTATGTATATATATAG